AAAAAAAACCCTGATCATTAAAATAAAAAATGTTATACAAGTACTACCTAACAGTATCACAAAAACCACCAATTATACATACATTTCACTTTGGAAATGCTGGTCTTTGGGCCTTAACTAGCAAATCTGATACATTTCACTAATGGGAGAGGGTTGGATGACCCATGCTGATTCCTAGGCATCTAGTCTATTTTAATGGTGGTCTCTCAGAAATTGCGCAGTTTTTCTTGACTTTTCTACTTAGGACTTGATAACTTTCCCAGGGAGCGTTTCAAGCATGGGAAACCAGTGATGTGGCAGACCAAGGAGGGGTTTGTTTGGAGGCATTTGTAGCTGTCTGGTCCCCTGAAAGTTATATTGTGTGATCAAACAGGGACATCCCTTCACTGTAGGGTTGATGCCTGCTTCTAGGAAGGGTAGATGATTTCCTGAAAGTACATTTACTGAAAGCTGGCCTCTTGGGAGTGGCTTTGGAGAATCATTAACTATTGTTAAATAAATAAATCCGTCTTGCCTACATGGAGTTTTACCGGTGCCACGCAATTCCATTGCCAATCAGTGTCTGCAGCTGTTCTGGGGAACAGTTGCTTCTCTCTGTAAGGTACTTCCCCAGCCCCCGCCCCCAGAAAGGGAATTCTCTCTATTCACAGTAGCAGCTTTATAAGTCAACCATTTCCAACAAATAAATGACATTACATCCTGCTCTTGCTTTTGTGGTGCCATAACAGGCTAAAATTACATGCACGTGCAGCGCACACACACACACACACACACACCCCACACATACAATTAATATGAGGCACATATTTGGAAAACCTTGGACCTAGAGTTCTGATCAAAAAATAAATCATGACTTTTTATTTATGAGACAAGTCAAATCTTAATATTTTTAAATAGGAGATATATTTTGGAGAACAAGCTCTGAGATATATAAATGCCCAATTTCCTTCATCAAAGCGACAAGTAGAGATTGAATGAAATTTTCAACCATTGTTAACACTATTCTTAGTTTAGAAAGTATTTGCTTGCTGTGTAGTGCCTTTGGTAACCATTCCCTAAATGTTTATATTCCTGTGTCCTATCTTGAAGAAGTTCCTGATGGAAACTGGAAAACAGAGCATTCACCTTCAGGATTGTGGGGACTAAAGGAATGGTAGGGAAACCTGGAAAGAATCTTACCAGCGAAGCAGTGGGGGCCGGTTAGGGATTGCAAGAGTTCCTGCCCTTTTTCTCTCCTGCTTTAGTCATCTGGCCTTCCTGACAGAGACACAATATATTAAACAGGAAGGTTAAGAGAGATGGAATAAAATGCAGGATCAATCCCTTCTCCTGCTCATGAATGATGTCTGGTTTGGAAGAGACCATTTAATTCTCCATTCGGTGGAAAAGTGACCTTTGCAGATGAGTGAGTGCTGACAACCAGGCCATTTTTCTCCAGCTTCATAGACGGTGGGATTCTGAAAGCAAAGTTGGCTCATCTGAGGATTCAGAAACTGATCCATACTCCGATTATGGCTGGGGAGGACCCTCATCACCATTTAACTGAGTTGGAAAACGAAGCCACAGTGCTGGAGGCCTGGAGTTTGTTTAATAAACAACTTTGAGGTATGAGTCCCCCTAAATCCTCCCCCCCCCCCACTTCGCCCCAGGAACATCTGGATCCTGGCAGGTTGGCTTTCTGGGACATTTCAATGGGCTTCATTTCTCATTTTTTTTCCTTTTTAATTGGTGGAGAGACAAAAGTTGTTATAATCTTTATTAATTCTTCCTTTTTAAATAAATACGTGGGACCACATTTGCTGCAAGAACCACAGAAATGGTGCTGCGGCCCCGACCGTCGCGGGCTCCGGCGTCACAGAGCCGGTCCCTTGTATCTGGGAGCCCCGGGGAAGGGCGCAGGGGCGTGAGAAAGGCTCTTTGTATTCAGAGCGGTTACCCAGCAGAGCCGGAGCCTTCCACCGCCAGGTTTTCCTCCGCGCAAAGCGCCGCCGGGAGGCGAATTGGCTCAGACCGTCGGGCGGGGGCGGCCTGAGCCGCGGCAGGCGCGCGAGCTCAGTGGCGGGGATCGCGGCCCTCCCGCCCCAGCTCCCTCGGTGGCTGCCCGCGCCCCCGAAGCCCCGCCCACGGCCCGCCCCTCCCCCGGGTCCGCCCCTTCCCGCTCCTCCTGCGGCGCCCGCCCCGCCCGAGCGGCCGCCTCCTCCTCCCTCTACGGTCCGCCTCCTCTCCCCTACGGTCCTCTGGCTCCCTCCACGGTCCTCCTTCCCCCTCAGCGTCCACGGGCCGCCTCCGCCGCCTACGAACCTCCTCCTCCCTTGGTGACCCTCCTTCTGCTGAGTCTCCCCACACCGCCCGCCTCGCCGCCCCCAGCGGAGCGCACCGGAGGGAGGGACCGGGGGCTGCCGGGCTGCGCGGTGACCCGGGCGCGGGAAGGAGCCCGCGGCAGTCCAGGCTCGCGAAGGGCCTCGGCAGCCGCCGACTTCCGAGGAAAGGCAGGACGGTGTTTGGTTTGCTAAAGTAGCCGCCTTCTACCCCCTCTTCCTCCCCAATCCCGGCTTTCTGCTCCCCACGCCCCCTTCCATTTACTTCTAATTACCAAGACAGTCCTTCTCTTAGGATTTCTATTGAATAGAAAATACAATTAAAAGTCGCAGCACCACCCCTGCATCCCGCCCCCTAAACTCCTAGTGATTATTTCTGTCCCCTAGCCCTAGGTTGGGTTAAACACATTCCCCGGGAGCCATCTGGTTTGATTCCCAGCAACCTTCATATGGTTTCCATTAAGCTCACCAAAAGCATGCATTGAAAAGGCAGCCCTGTAGCCACTCAGGAACCTCCGGAGTTTTGCTCTGAGCAGCCCCGGTAGACGTCGCAGGCAGAGGGAGGGAAAGGCCTCTGTTAAGGTTCCGAGTCTAGTACCTCATGATCCTGGTTTTAATCTAATTTCTTGGCTTTTTCTAGTCCAAGAAAATACAGTTCTCCAAGGTAATGGTTATCATTCATTTATTATTTGTTTTTTTTACAATATGCAAGGGCTAGCTGATTAGAATTCTGTTTTAATTTTAAAAATGAAGGCTAACAGCTTTACAGATCGGTTGCAAAAGTAACCTGGCCACAGAGGTTAAATTTGACCATTAGCATTGGTATGGTGGGGTTTACACCTCCTTTCCTGTCTGTACCCCATTACTTAACCCCCAAAACGCAAAGAACAAATGTTAGCTTGTGGAAACATTCGCTCACACGTGGGTTGGGGCCTGCGGTCCAAGAAAAAGGGAACCGGCAGTTTATAGACTCAGTGTTATAACTAGAACGTTCCTTAGGATCCATCCAATATGTATGGCAATTAATTGAGAACATGCAGAAAGTGGAGAGGCTGCAGGAAGGTCACCTACAGTACTGCAGCCTAATATGGGGATGAGAGGGTGGGGAAGAAACCTGGGCAACAAGTGCTTTATCATATACAGCAGGGAAGATTGTGTCAAACTCATTCATTAGCGGCACATCCTGGCTCTCCCCAGCCCATCAGCTGCAGTCCCATCCCTGTCCTGCTCTGTGCCTCCCTGTTTGGGGAGTTACAGCTCTCTGCTTTTCTTCCTATTTTCCCCACTCCCGCCCTGACTGTGTGATTTTTATTTGGGTTTTTAAAATGAAACCAGGTGCTGCATAAAACAAAAGCAAAGTAATAACAAGGAAAGACTATCCAACGCCTGAGGAATGTGCTGAGTTTTATGACTCAGGCTGTCCTGGCAAAGAGCTTGGACTCACAGCAAGAGGTGGGTGGCAGGGAGCACAGACCGTACATGGCAGCCCTGGCCTCCCCAGATAGGCATGGTCAAGGCAGCCTGTGACTCATTTCACAAAACCAGAGACTCTTGTTCTTTGTGGAACAAGACTTCCCTGAGGCTAGAGCAGGATGATCATCAGCTTTTCTCCTAGAGCCAGTTCAGTCTGATAAAGCAGGGGCCACTCTGGAGTTTGGAGGGGAAGAAAGCCCAGGCACAAGGCCATCCCTGGGAAAGAAACAGGCTTGGTGGACTTGGGCAAGGCCTTTGGTGCAGTCAGGAGATGACTAACAGAGAAGCTGCAGCGTGACATGAAAATTAGCATGTATTGTAGTGGAGACAATGGCTTGAGAGCTCCAAGTGGTGGGACTGCCACAGTGCCTTGGAGAAGGGGACTGTTGGTGTGCTCCTAAGCCCAGAGGAGGTGTTTGCTCCTCCTGAGTGCATGGGGCACAGGAAAAGCTTGTCAGATGCCAGTAGGGTTTCCGAGGTGCCATTCCTCTTGCAATCAGGAAGAGTAACTAAGGGCAAAATTAGTAGACTTTGCATAAACACCCAGAGAGCCACCCAGGCACACATCCTCACATTCTGAGAATTCTTTTCAAATGAGCATAGTAATGGGGTGAGGTGTATGTTTTTTCTGTTACTAAGAGACAGCCTGAGAGAGTGAGAATGCAAAGGAGAGTGTCTCTCCTAGCAGAGGTGGTGGGAGGGGCTGGAATTTGGGTGACACGGATCTGTTTGTGCCCCCTTTATTACACAGGCCTAGGTGGAACGGGACTGATAGAGCTCCTTCTGATTTCTGTCATCCCAGAGAAAGCTGTCATGTTTTGAATGAGAATGAACTTTGACTGGCATAAATGAGATCTCCGTGCAGCAGCCCCATTCTCTTTTTCTTTTCCTTTCCATGGAATACCCATTTAAAAGCTATGGTGACTATTCCATAATTGCAGGCAAAGCTCTGCTTAACTTTTCCCTCAAAGTCTACTTACCTGGAAAAATAAAGCCTTTTGAGAACGATGACTTCATAAATATTTATAGTGGGAACAGGCGTCACTCTGGTTCTGCGAGAGAATGGGCTCATTCAGTTTTATTTATGATGTGACACTTGGGTGAGTGACATCCGTCATCTGGGTCGGCCCTACACTCTGTTCCACTGAAGCATGTTTATGGAGTGATTATGCCTGCAAATATTTGCTATATTTAGGTCCTCTCCTCCCCTAACTCCCTCTTAGCCTTCTTAAGTCCCCAAACCAGCGAAAAAGTCAAGCTATGGTCTAGGAAGGTTTGAACCCTAATGACAAGGCACGAGGGTTTGAACATGTGCTGTAGAAGGACTTGACGAATTGGGAGGCAATTAGAGTGGGAACGCTGGTATTATGGCATTCAGGAGGTTTTGCTTGTCCTTGTCTAGCAGGTGAGGGCTCTCAGCTGGGCATGAGGGGTTTTGACAGGAGACGAGCACAGCCCTGAGTGATGAATGCAGAGGGATGCTTATGAAACTCTTCCGTTCCCAGGGAGCTTTCTCTGGACAGGATCTCACAGGCCCTGAAATCGTCACCATATACCCCAGGGCTCTGGGGCAGGACCTGGTGGGGACTCTGTGACCTCAGCTGGGTCAAGGTCTGTGGTGTAACCTGAGGCCTCCTCTCAGCCACACCTGGTCCGGGGCTGGGCACAGCAGCTGCTCTCCATCAGCTACGGAGGAGGGAGGACGTTCTCCGGCTTCCTGGCTTTCAATTGCACATGCCCTGACCTAGGCATTTCAGGCTGGACCTAGACATTCCTCAGTACTCAATATTTGCCTGCGATCGGCTTGGCAATCTATTGTTTATCCTGGGAAGGGCCAGGTCTTGGCACAGTGGCCTGAAGCGTTGCCAGTGTTTTATTTTTAGAGACAGGAAAATGTCTGCCTTTTGGCAGCTGCTCTTTATCTGGCACACATCAGTGATGGTGTAAAAAAGTTCAAGTGAGAGATTCCAAGCCCTAAACTCATGGCCTATGACACAGACAATAGCACCATAAGCCTCTCAACAGGCACCTTTGGGGAACCTAAGATGTGTCATTAGAAGGCCTCCTGGGTAGAGTAGTAGCCTCCCTGCCACACCCTGGAGGCAAGAGTCCTGTCTAGTCCAGAAACCTCAGAGCCTGAACATTTTGTGAGTCCCTTTTGAATGTATCAGCCGATCTGAACTATTATAGCTCTTACCTCCATTCATCTCCTTATCTACCAGTCCATAATCTAGTTCAACTTGGTAGAAAGATTAAAAAAAAAAAATCTGTTAAATTTCACGTTCATCAACCCTTCTTAGACCCAGTAACGTCATCATAACGATTGCAGAAGCCAGCCAGTGTCCATGGCAAGAAATATCTTACTAGACTCAGGGATCACATTTCCAAGTTTTATTGCAATTAATATTTGTCCTAACATAGCGCCCTCTTAAAACATATTTTTGTAGGTCCTGTGATTCTGGCTACTGACAATTTGTTAGAAAGCATTTTGTAAACTGTAGTGACATATTATGCAAAGGTAAAATGGAATGGACACAAAGATAAAGAATTATCATTACCTTCTTTTCTTCCCAGCTTTTGAAAAAAGATTTCTTTCTAATTGCACAAATAAAACATGAATACATTCTTCTTTACTGCTTATAGCCCATGATCACCTTTTGGATTCATTTTTCTTCCTGCTGGAGCACATCCATGGTAGATTTTCTTTTGTTTTTCCTCCCTTGTCCATCAGAGTGGGTAATGCGTTTGTCTAAGGGCTTGTATGTGTGAGAAATTATTTTGCTCTCTCTGCTTGAGTGTTAGCTTGGCTTGTTA